ACCAAGTATTTATACGTGTCGAAGACCTCTAAAAAAGATGTACAACTCTACCCAATAATTTAACATCTCTATTTTTACTTTTAGCAAAAATATTGTATTTTACTGTGTAGATTTACTTTGTAAATATAAGAAGAAAAAAAAGATAGTAAAGGTTGGAGAGGCTCCATATCAACTCAATCCTTAATTAGAGGTTTCGAGCTCGATTTTTTTTGGGTATGGAGTTGTCTTTATTAGATAGTACTTTACCCAAATTATAGAAAAGAAGATGTAAATCAGTCTGAGAGCGGTGATTAAAAAGTTTCTCAGTATTTCAATGAGATTCTGTTTCTCATCATGTATTTTTTCAAATGAATTGATTAAGTGGAAAATGAATTTTTAAAATAATCATATTTTATATCATAAATTTCTTATTGATTCATAGTGTAAAAAAACTTTATTTCTAATAATGAGAATAAACCAAATGAATTTAATTACAAAAAATGACAAAAAAAAGGATTGAAGAATAAAAAGTACTCCTATTTTTATATAAGAGCACCTTTTATTTTTATTTTACTGCATACATTACCTACAAAAAGAATATTAAGGGAAAAAACAAGAATAGAAAATAAAAGGGACGAAATAAGAAATAAATCTAAAAATACTCAAATAAAATACAGCCATTGCCCAAAATATAGATCACCATTTTCAATTTATTTATTTTACTTTTTTGTAAAATTCATTTTAAAAGTATCTTTTTCTTAACCATTTCTTAATTCTAACTTTTAGTGTATATATATATACTAGAAAGATTCTCTTTTTCTTTTTCTAATTATTATTGCTATACAATCATTTTCCTCTTTTCCTTTTTTCTTTTCTTTTGTGAGCTGCCATAAATACAGGAACCTCTACTTTACAATAAAGTAATACTCCCTTTGTTCTTAATTGGTTGTCCACTTTTAAATTGACACATATATTAAGAAAATAATTAATGACATAGTGAGTTTATCATTTTACCCCTATTAATTATGAAGTGGATGAAAAGTTCTACATTTTTAAAAGTAATTAGTCATTTAATTGAGGATATAATAGGTAAAAAAAATTGTCCTTTCTTGATTTGTCAAAATGAATAAATAATTAGGGACAACTATAAAAGGAAAAGTGGACAAGCAATTAGGGACAGAGGGAGCACAAATATTTAATAATAGTATAAACTAAAGTGGAATATTTTATATTATTTAGAGACCAAAACAGAAAGTGACTGAACTAGATATAAGCTAAGTCCAAATATACTTTTATATATATATATACTAGACATCGGAGCCCGTGCTAGCACGGGCCCAATATGTATCATTTTTTGTTTCAATTTATGTGATAAAGATAAAATTAAAGAGTTAATCAAAACTTTAATATTAATTTAAAATAGTTTAAATTTTTAATTATGTTAACTATGGTAAAAATTTCTTATGTCTTTTAGCATTCTAAATTGCTAATTATTGTTGTATGATTTGTAATATCTTTTACGCAATTTTGAAATATAAAGGTTATTTCTTCTTTTTCAATTTATGTGGTACTAATAAAATTTTGAGATTCAATCAATTTTTTTTGTCTTTAAAATATTGTACCTTGTAAGTAATTTTTAAATAATATATATTATTTCATTT